ATATAATTAGGCTTCTCAAAATAGTCTCCTAGTGGGATTGGGACAACCACATGCCACAGGTTCTCCAATTTCATGAGCTGCCTCTACGGAACTCCAGGAGCTAAAAGTCCCAAGCTGTCCCCTCTCCAGATGGGGCTGCGTCCCTCCTGGCTGAAGTCAGCTCAGCTTCTGGGACTTTCGGGGACGCAGTTGGACCCCAACACACACATGCATGCACGCACATGCCCCTAGAACTCACCCGCTCTGCTAACCTCTGTCTGACTCCCACCTGCCTGCCACATCACCAACATACTCTCAAGTTAGCAGTTAATTTGGTCGTCTGGATGTATGTGGGTGTGTGTGCTGCGTGCTGCGTAAATAGTATATGGCACAGGATAAAACTCCCTTTACAGCTGAATCTGAATTTGAGTCCCTCTTACTAGCAGAGACGGAGGCATGTAAATGAATGTAAAATGGGAGTGGTGGTAAATATTCATTTATAGTGGCTGCAGATGAGCTCGCTGGAAACAAAACAAGTCAAACCGAGGGCTGCCCAGTGCTAAAAGCAAGTGGACCTTCTAGAGAATTAGGGAGGCCGAGTGGCTAAGTGTGTAGGCTGGCAGGGGGATGGGGGACCTCAAATCCTTGTTATGGCTGTCATTTACTGTGTGACATTGTGCAGGTTACTTCACCTCTCTGCAATTCATTTTCTGTTGTTCACAATGGGGAAAAGAATCAATAGTGACTTGGGGAGGAGCAGGAGGAGGGCGACGAGGCTGCTTGAATCTGTAAGGAGTGAACTACTAATCTTAAACTGGGGGTGGAATGCCCAGTTGAGGGAAGAAGTGAGGTCCTAGAGAACTGTGGTTTATTTGGGGGAAGTGATTATGCTAATCAGGATGGGAAGCCAAGGGTTTCAGGCAGCTTTAAAATATCATTTAAAATACATATGTAATTAAATTCTCACTATGTACAAATTTCAAGTACCATAGATAAAGTTTAAATCCCTTGAGTCACACTTCTTTCCCAGCCATGATAACTGTTGTCAGTTTCATTGGATTTCTTCCATAGCTTGTCCTTTGCACATATATACCCATGGAAATCCATGGCTTTGCTGGATGTTTCTTTTTTTTTTTTTTTCCAAACCAACATCAAGTGCTCTGTCTTGGAACTCTGTCCATGTTGGTCCATAAAGACGTAGATTTGTCTCTTAGTGCTGCAAAGTATTTAAAACTAGCAATCAATGTACCAACATTACTCTTTACTTTCTTTTTTTAAAATAATTTTTTACAAGATTTATTTATTTATGCATACAAGACCTGGGGTACAGGCCAGATATGCGGGCATGAGAGAATTCACCAGAGACAGAGTGGGGAAGAGAACAGGCAAACTGACTGAAATACACTGCTGAGAGGAGCAGTGGGCGAGACAGGAGAGGTCTGCCGCGCCATGTTGGTTGCTCTCTGGCCGACTGGGGATTGATCTTGTGCTGGAGAGGCTTTGGATTGCTTCATAGTGCAGTGCTTAACCCCTTGCACCACCAGGGAGGCCCCTCTTTAGTTTCTTAAAAGTTGGGGTGGAATGCTTAGATTAATAGCAATAGAAATATATATGTTACTGTTCTTTCTAAAATATAGGATTGGCCATGTAACCGCAGATACCCCAAACCTAGAGGGGGGTTCCTATTACTCAAGCCCCAGTATTTCCAGTATGACTTCAAGCTTTATCTTCACCACTCTAGGGTCATTTCTCAACAATGTCACATGCTTACCCGCCCCTTTGGATCTCTGCTCAGCGCAGCAGCTCTTCCTGCCTTCTCTACCCAGTCACTCTTTCCTCCATTCATCCACATCCACTTAACAATCACGGAGTGAACACTGAGGACTCCCTTTGTCACTCTCCCAATTGGAAATAAATGTGTGTGTGTGTGTGTGTGTGTGTGTGTGTTATGTGTCTGTATGTATGTAAACTTACCAGATTTCACAGCTCTTTCTACCTTTTGCCTTCCCCAACCCTGCAAGTGTTTATTCAGTGCCTGTTCCATCTGCCTGCCACTTTGTCTCCCTAGCTTGGCCTGAGATCCTGGAGGGATGAGATTATGGCTCACGAATAGGGTTTCCCAGGAAGAACAGGTATCCTGGTTCGCCTGCATGGTTCCCCTTTCCACCTGCTGACTTGGTGGATTTACTCATGGTGCTCGCTTTGGCTTTGATTTAGATGAGACATTATATAATCACTCTAGTTTTACAATAGGTGCTTATAGGAAAGCTTAATGGACAAAAAAGAACAAGTGGGTGGCCGAATGACTAAGGTTTGTTTTTCATGATTTATTTATTTATTTCAAGTTTTTTGTTATTGTTGTTTTTTATTTATTTTTAAAGAGATTTATTTATTTATTTATACAAGCACTGGGTACAGCGCGGGAGGGTGAGAGAATTCACCAGAGCCAGAGCGGGGAGCAGAGCAGGCAGAAGGACCGAAGTACACTGCCGAGAGGAGCAGCGGGCGGCAGGAGAGGTCTGTGCGCCATGTGGGACCCTCCTCCGGTGGCCGGGGAGCAGCAGGGGATGGAACCGGCGCTGCAGAGGCTGCGAGCAGCTTCGCAACCCAGCGCTCAACGGCTGCGCCACCATGGAGGCCCTATTTTTCATGATTTAGAAGTGACGTCTCACACTGAACTAAGACCAGAAAGCACAAGTTGCTTTTTGTAGAGGCCACTTCATTCTGGCCTCTGTTGCCTATGAGGGGTTTATACGAACCCTATAATCTCTGGCTATCTTGCCTGTAGGTCGTGGGGTTTTCTTAGTGTAATATTCTAATAGGACACGTGTGCTAAAAAGTGGTGGTGCAAAGGGCAACATTTCTGAACAAAAGAGTGATGACTTGTTGAACTTGGGTTAGGAAATTGCTTCTAAGATGAAGTAGTGAGGATCAAGTGCTAGCTGGGGGGTCTGGGGGAGACCTCCCAGTGTGAATCTCCACTCTTGGGTTTCAGCTCTGCAACTTCCTCTGTGCTTGTGAAATAATAACATGCATATGTGGGTCTCTGTCCCTGGTTGCTAGCACAGAGCTCCAAAACCTGGGTAAATTTCCATGTGATAAGAACATCTTTTGGTCTAATATTTGTTTTTGACCCTGTCTCTGATACAGCATTCCTAAAACCCTTGTGATTTCCTAAGTGATAATGTTACAGGGCAACCCCAGTATAAAACTGGTTGCCTGACTGTTGGTCCTTACCTGCGTGCTTAAAAGGGACTTAAACTGCAGGCACACACAAAAGGTTAACAAAAGGTTTATTTACAAGGGAAAGGGAAATGAGGAAATATACAACTCAGGGAGAAAAGAGGGAGAAAAATTCTTAAATGAATCCTACCTGTTCTGCTAACCTGGAATTCCAAATGACCCACCAAGACCAAATGCTGCCTGGCCAAGAGCATGAGCCAAGAGAGTGAGCCCCACTCACATGGGCTGGTTATAAACACAAGCCTGAGAAAATGGCTGCTTAACTCCACCCTCCGGTCCTTGCAACCCTCTCTTTTGGTATCATGGGATTTGTAGTTCCCAGTGTCTTGATGGAGTGGGGGTGGAGTCCACAAAACCTGTATGGAGTTTGCACAGGACATCCTTTCCCCCTAACAATAAGAGTGCAGAAGTGACTCTTAGTGGTCTCTTGGAGAAGGGCTGCCGGTCCTCAGAAAGACCAAGCCACGCCTAGAAGCTTGGAATTTTTGGCCTTATCCCCCATTCTCCACAGAGGGGAGATGGATTCTAAATGGACTTACTAATTGATTATGTCCATGTGAAGAATCCTCCATAAAATGCCAGTAGTGTGAGGTTTGGGGGGCTTCAGGTGTGTGAGTACATCACACCAGGAGGGTGATGCACCCCAGTTCCACAGGGATAGAAACTGCTGTGCTTGGGTCCCATGTATGTCTTTATTTGGCTATTTCTATCTTTTTCCATATCCTTTTATAGTAAGCTGGTAAAAGTAAGTGTTTCCTTGAGTTTTGGGAGCTGCTTTAGTAAGTGAATGGGATCCAAGGGAGAGTGTTGGAACCCCTGTGTGAGGCAGTCCTGTGGGACTGAGCCCTTAACCCCTGGGATCTGGCAGCCTCTCCAGATAGAGTCAGGATGGAGTTACACTGAAGGGTGCTAACTGTAGCAGAGAATATCTGGGTGTGGGGAAAAGCCTCCAGATATTTGGACACCAGGTGTGCTATGTGAGAAGGAATAGCATACACTGGAAAGACAGACATTGTAGCAAGGAGCTGGCTTTTCCCTACCTGGAGAAAGGAAAAAACCTGAATTTTTCATTTATAGTGACCTTGAGCTTGGCTTCCTCTCTGAGTCTGTTTCCTTGTCTACAAAGTGGAGCTAATGAGCTCCCAGCCTGTGAGAATTAGATGGAATGATGTAGAACACCAGGTTGAATCATGAAATCACCTCTCTTTGACCCTTTTCATTTTCAAAGTGTCATTTCATATCCTTCAGCCTGGCTGGGCCTGGCAGAGAGTCAGGGTTTAGAAGTGGGAACCACCCCACATGGATTTGAGCTCCTGTCTCTGTTCCTATTGCTTGGTTCAGCAGATATTTCATTCAAAACCCATTTGCTGAGCTCTGACTATGTGGCAGGAATCACCACCAGGAGGAAAACAATACAAGCCTTTAACAGACAGAATGTGTCTCTACAACTCTTCAGTAGCCTTGGTGCTTGTAAACAGGCCCCGGAATGCTGGCCAGAGAAGGTCTTTGTAAAATTGTATTTTTTTAATTGAGGTAATATTAATTTACAACACTGTACATCATTTGGGGGTACAGGTGCACACCTCTTCAGATGTATGTGACCACGCTCACCACAAATGCCCACCCCCCCAATCCTGTTGAGTGTGAAAGATTGCAAACCTTGAGATGCCCTTTTGAGAGCCCTGGCCCTGTACCCAGAAAGGCAGGATCTGCAGGCCAGGGAGGGTCTGCAGAGCTCCAGGTTGTGTTATGAGCAGCAAAAAACATCACGCCAACCACCACATGATTATTTTATTTTATTGCTGTTTAATTCAGATTTCCCCCCAAACATCTTTCAAGCTCCACCATGGCCTCTTGTACAGAAAGTTGAAACTGTACCCTGCTTCTTGCCATCCTCACAACACCCCTGTCCTCTTATATGCAGTATTTCTAAATGAAGATGGAAACAGGAACTTGGCTGAGTTTTGCACCATGGAAGTGTATTCTGGGCCTACATTTATAGAAAGTGGGGGCAGTCAAAAGTGATGAGTCCATGGGGGTAGGGTGATGTTCACACCGAGGCTGCTCACACTGGGCAGTTGAGGTGGGTACAAGTGTCTGAGTTCTGGGGGCACCAGACGCATCAGATGACAGGGATATTAATGATAGGGAGAGCCTTAGAAAAATCTACAAACACACAGGGCTTTCCAGGGGAGACGCTCGTTTCCCTTAAGGTAGATTAGCAAACAATGAAAGAAAGTTCCCAACTCACATTAATCAAGCATCTACACTGGACAAACTCTAAGTCTCCAGATAAACACCCTCAAAATAGGCACTTGGAGTCTCTAGCTCTGGGATTGGAGAGATTGGGGGCTTTGGCTCCTAAAGGCATGGGCCATTGTCCCCACAAAAGGACAACAATTTCTGAAGGTTCTGGCCCAGCTGGAAGGGAGGAGGCCGGTTTAAAGAAGAGCCCCACTCCTGTTTCATTGAGACAGTGAGACATTGAGCAGGAAGCTCTGTGTCCTGTGCTTATCCTGAATATAGTGGCCTGGCATTTCTGAAGAAACCCCAAAGAGGCAAATGCTGGCCATTGAAATATGGGTATTGCATGCCAAGAACTGACCGGCTCCATCAAAAAAAGGACCCGGTCCAATTTGCTACTAGACACTGTATTGTCAGAGCCAATGTTGTACCTGGCACTGAGTAGGCACACAACAAATGTTTGTTGAATGAATAAATAAAATTATCTAAGAAGAAAGTTCTGTTCCCCCCAGAATATACATTTATAACCTTTTGACTGGTTATAATTAGTACTTTTTGAAAGTGGAATTAAGATTCACTTATTCTCTTGACATCAGTTAGGCCTAGAAGAACTTTCGTGAATTGAAGCTGAGTCTTTTCAAGTTGGAACCGGGGAATTTTCTGGTTATGTCCAAATCAGAGAGGCACTGGTGAGCGGGATAACCAGTCCGTCTCTATGGTCAGTGGTTTGTCCAGAACTGGCTGGAGGCCAGGCCAGTGTCCTGAGATGTCCGGGGGGAGGGACAGGTCTTGACATCCTGGGGAAGGTCTGGGCTGGGCTGGTGAGAAGCAGACCTGGCCTAGCTGCCTGGAGATGGCATCAGGAGTAGGAAGGAACTGGGGGCCGTGAGAGGAGGGAGGTCCAGGACTGGCCATTGTTGAGAAGATGACCTGGCTAAGCTTGGGCTCCCTTTCCACACGCCACCCGGAGGTGGTGAGGAGGCTGGTTTGGGAAGAACCCCCCAAGCATCCGGGAGAACTTGTGCCCATGAGAAAGATGAGGCATAAGGGGCCCCTCAAAATGGTGGTGGCTCTGGTAAAATCTATGTCCAGGGAAGGTTCTAAGCCACTAAATTATTGGCCCCTCAGGGAATGGGGGCTGGCCAACGGTGTCTACACCGCAGAGAGAAAGTCAGGGGATGCAGGAGAGGCTGGCAAGCAATGAACAGCAGGTGCCGGCCGCCTGGACACCCCGAGGGAGGTGAATATGAAGTGAAGATGGCAGTTCAGGGTGTGCCGAGGGCCCCAGGGGCTCTTTCCACAAGTTATTCCTAGACCTTCAGGCCCTGGCCAGGAGAACTGGCCATCCCACACCCTGCTTCCCTTCCCCGTCACTCAGTTTTGGACAAGAGGCTGAGGATTCTTTGGGGAATGGTTTGGGTCCATGGTTCTTGGCTTGGTTTTGTTTCTCGCGGCGGGGCTGGCCACCCACGGCCATAGACCCAGCTATTTTCAGGAAAGACGGAGTGGAGGCGCACTGGGGGTGGTGTCAGTGGACGCTGCGGCCCTTCCAAGGGAGGTTGAGGCACAGAAAGCCCAAAGCCCTCCCCCCTTCCCGAAGGTCTCCAGGGGCCTGTCCTGCCTCCCGGGTCAGGCAGGTGCAGGCTCTGGGGGCGTGAGGGGTCTGGAGATGTCAGGGGAGGGGGACGGCTGAGCCCGCGGAAGGTCAGGGCACCATGTGCCACCACTTGAAGGGGAAGGGCTTCCGGCACACGTTGGTGCCGCAGTGCACCTCCCCCAGGTACTTGTGGTAGGAGGAGATGTCGTCCAGGAAGGTGCAGCTCAGGCCCAGCGGCTCCAGCAGCGCGCGCACGTGCGTCTCCAGGCAGCACACCTCCTCCACCAGCGGCCCGAAGGGCTTGGGGATGCCCAGGTCCTTGTCGAGCACGATCATGTTCACCTGTGAGGGGAGGAGAGAGAGGGGGAGAGGTGTGGAGGGGGAGAGGTGTGGAGGGGGAGGTAGAGCAGTATGGAGGGGGAGGGGCAGGGGGACCGGAGTGGGGGCACAGCACCTTTTTAGTCAGCACCTGCTATGTGCCCGCAGGTCTAAGCCCTCTGAACCCTCATACAACCCTATGAAGTAGATACTATGATTAGCCCCACTTTGCAGATTAGGAAACTGAGGCACAGAGGGGGCTAAGCAAGTCAGATATGGCAGGGCTGATGTGGAAATCAAGCATCCAGCCTCAGTATGGACATACGTACATATATGTATGTGCACGTGGCTGTATATGTGCATGTTCACACATTGTGCATTTTGTGATGTGCATGTATGTGTGTGTGTGTATCTATATATGTGTGTGTTGTCCTAACCCCTTTCTGTCTTGTGGAGACTCCCTTCTATGGTAACCAAATCCCTCCTCTCCATAAAGGCCTTATGAGCTTACAAAGCGTTCTCCTGGCTGATTAGGCAGGGGTTCCCCAGTGCTCTGGGAGACAGCTAGGATGAACCTATCACCCTGGGGCGTGGGGGGGGTGAGGTGCCACACAGCTCAGCCAGGACTGGGACCTGGACTTCCTGGGACAGCCTCAGCTCAGAGCTCCTCCTGCATCTGGCTACCCTCTGCTTGGCCTGGATGGGGTTTGGGGTTCGGAGAGCCTCACCATGTTCGGGAAGTAGGCTCGGGCCTGGCGGTCCTCGTCCATCTTGAACAGAGCGGGCAGGTCGATGATGTCCTGCTCTGCCAGGCCCAGCTCCCTCTTGAGGATGTCACGGTTCCAGTCCAGGCAGCGCTGGGCGAGGGGAAGGGAGGGAGGGAGGGCCGGCCGGTGAGGGACACCCTCACTAATTCGGTCAACCTCACTGCTGTCTGAAGCATCAGGCCTGAGTCCGTGGCATTCCAAGGAATACTCCAGGGGGATCTCCGGCACTCACCTAGCACCCCCTTCTAAGCACCCCTCTCTCACCAGGGCTTAGTAACAGTCTCAATAAGGGGAACAACAGCGCAGCTGGCAGAATATTGGCAGGTGTCGCTCCCCGCACACTTGCTGGAGGCCAGAGCTCAGGTACGAATCACCCCAGGAGGTAGACCCACTGCCGTCTCCTTACAGACAAAGAGGGAACCAAAGACAGGGAGTCCTCAGTGAGTGGCTCAAGGCCCTACTGTCAAAATTGGGGGCCATGGTATGACTTCAGATCTATCAAGTGTCAAGAAATGAGCATGGAAGAGTAGTTATAATAAAGCCCCCTTTCAAAGAGCCAGGTGAACTCTGGGAACCCTTGGGGTTGCTTCTCCAGCATCCACTCATGCAATACAGTAACAGTTGTTGGGTGGGGTAACCTCACCCCCACCTCCAGGTGAGACCTAAAGTGGACTCCTGCCTCTACCTCCTTGTCCCAGCGATTGGCTCAGATATGGACAATAATAACCCAGGATTAAACCAATCGGCATATGGAATTCTCCTGGCCACAGTGATTGGTTCAAGGCGGCTCAATCCGAGTGAATTGCAAGGTTTTTGCTCAATTGTTGGAGGCAAATAAGAGCTCTCTCTTGGTGGTGTGCTGGGTGGATGTGAGACTTTAAACTATTGCAGTTATGCTCCCAAGTCCAGAGAAATGGCTAGAATGCTATAGCCCTGATCAACCTGTGCCTGAAAGCCACACCACGACTGAACTTTCTGCTTATTTTTTTGTTTAAATCAGTATGAGTCTTCTCTTTGTTTTTTTAAACTTGATACTTTAAATATACCCAAGCAAGTAAAGAGAGATTTAACTCAAGTTAATATGACCCTGTTGACTAGTTTCTATTTTTGGATACATTTATGGATTTAATAGACTCAGAAAATGGACTCAGTCCATAGATGAAAACCTTCAGGGACTGCTGATCTCCAAAACTAGTGAACTTCAGGGCATGCATTCATACATACATATTTTCTGGAGAGTGGGTCTGTAGCTTTCATTGTATTTTTTTTTTTTAAGATTTATTTATTTATTTACATAAGCACTGGGTACAGTCAGAAGCGCGGGAGGGTGAGAGAATTCACCAGAGCCAGAGCGGGGAGCAGAGCAGGCAGAAGGACCGAAGTACACTGCTGAGGGGAGCAGCGGGCGGCAGGAGAGGTCTGCATGCCATGTGGGACCCTCGCCCGGTGGCCGGGGATCGAACCAGCGCTGCAGAGGCTGCAGGCAGCTTTGCAACCCAGTGCTCAACCCCTGCGCCACCGGGGAGGCCCAACTTTCACTGTATTTTAAAAGGGTGTGTCTCCCCAAGTGTTATCGGCCCTAGCCTTACAGAGCCCTTGGCTCTTTAGCACTGCCTGACAGTCTTCCTTCCCAGGTCTCCTCTCTGCTTCTAGCCTCTGCTGACCCACACACCCCTGCGCTGTCACCCCTTCCTCTCTCCAGCGTTGGCACCGGAGTGAAGCAGGTGTTGGACCCAATGCTCATTGAGCCCTCTCCTGTGTCATGTGCTCTGAACTCCTGCCATCCCCACACAAGCCCTGGGGATAGGAGAGGTGCCATGGGGCACCGCCTCGGCCCTTCCAGGGGCCCTCTGCCCAGCCCCCCAGCACCAGGGCCCCTGCCCTGCCTCACCTGGAAGTACAGGTTCTCCTGCACGAGGCTCTCATTGGACAGAATCTTGTTGATGGTGATTCGCTTGCCGCTCATCCCGCCCAAGCCTGTGGGGGTCAGAGGGCACGAGACGTTTTTTGCCTTAGGTACCCAGCCTGGTTGCTCCCCTCTGGCAAAGCCCCCCCAGCTTCTGTTCTAATAGTGGGCAAGGGGAGGTGGCGCTGGAGCAGAGCTGGGGCGTGGGAGGGCAGCCCCAGGGGAAGCCAGGCCCCCCTCTGCCTTGGGAAGGTAGCACACATGCCTTTCCTCAGGGTCGTCCTTGTCACCTGGACTGGGGAAGCGGTGGTGTCTACCTTGCTCTCTCTGGCCAGGAGGGGGGATGGCAGAGGCAGAATGCCCAGAGGGCTCGCCCCGGTCTCCAGACTTGCCTCAGTGCCGGCCCCTGCCGAGGTCTGGGCCTCATCTGCTTCCTGTCCCACCAGGACGGGCCCACACAGCCCCATGAGCACCCACCCACTCTGTGGCAGATGCTTGTAGACATTTTACATGGACTGCTAACTTATGCATCTCCCCCACACCTCTGCGAGGTACCCGCTAGCGTTACGGGTGAGGGAATAGGCTCAGAGAGGTTACATGACTCGTCCTGGGCCTCAGGGCTAGTGGCCCAGCTGTGTGCAGAGCAGGGGCCCTGATTCCAGAGGTTCCACTATTAACCTTTATTTTGCCTGATCTGGGAGGAGCCTGCTGCTGCTCTACCTGCTGCTGAGGCTTGGAGCTTGTCAGTGCAAAGAGACTGGGGCTCTGAGGTCACGTACCTGAGCTGTCTCTACACTGTCAATTGCACCTATTTGTATACAAAAACAACATGCCTGTGTCCCATGGGTGGCTCTGGGGTATGTTTGATCCAGGAAAAAACCTCCAGAAAGTCAAGGCTCCTGCCTGTCAATCCAAGAGCAAATTTCCCATGGGGTGGGGGGGATTAAAAAAGGACAGCGCTTTTAACTGGGCCTTGTCTGTCCTAGACACCAGTCACTATCATGGACACTGCCTTTGGGGATGGAGGGCAGCAACATGTGTGTCAGCCAGCCTCCGGCACGCACTCTGGGGGTGAGGAAGACAGGAGACACCAACCTGCGAAGTGACAACAACAATTTAAGGAAAACAAACGAAACGTCAGGCCTCTCCTAGCTAGCTCACACTCTCCCGGCTCAGCTGTCTCTCTCTCCATGATTAATTTTAGAGCAAACTTCATCTCAGTCTACCCGGTTATGCGGATGTCTAAAGCCAGCAGGCTGTCTTGCACCCCAGGACCACCCATGATGCTGTCTGGCTTTTACAACCCCCACTTTTCTAAATTGCGTGATACGTATTTTTTGCTCCCTTTCTAGAACACAAGGTCCGTGAATGCTGAGTGCTTGCTAGTTTTGAGCCATAAACTCTGGGGCTGGTGCAATTTAAAGTGCACCCTAGATCGTGAAGAAGCACTTGGCACTGATGGCCAGCTGCCCAAAGCAAGAGCACCAAGAAGCCAGGCTACTCCCCAGCATGGCGACCTCAACCCTGAGAGAGCCCGACACCCAGGGGAGCAAAACTGGGTGCGCAGGTACTAAGTGCTCCTCTGTCCCACCTTCCTGAGGGCCTCGCTGGGGGCCTAGCCCCCCGATACAGCTAGGACCCTGTGACCACTCACCTTTGAACATGATAGCCTCTCCGTGGCCCTCCTTCTGCTTCTCTCGGAAGAGCTTGTAGCAGGCGGAGGTGCTGGCCATGAGCATCCGGAATTGCTGCAGAGAGGCCCAAGGGACAGTGTCAGCAGAGGGGAAGCATGAGGGGCTCCTGCCCCAAGGACCCGGAGTCCTGTCTGCATATCACCCCCAGCCTCCCATGCTGAGTGGCAAAAGCTGCTGGCAGGGCTTTCTCTGTTTGAGAAGAATATTTCTCACCCTTCCTGCACCTCACAACACCGCCAAGACAAAGCTCAGATTCAAAGGTGGCCATGGACAGAGAGGAGAAGCTTTTCCAAGCTGCCATTTGCACAAAATTTCCAGGTGTGAATTTGCAGCCATTCCTTTCACTTCAGAAAATGTTAAGAACCTCTTTCCAGAACCTCTTTCCAAGTGCATGTCCATTTCTCTCTAGAGTGTGACGGTTAATACAGCAACCCCAGCCCCGTGTGACTATGCGACACAGAATTGTGTCCAGTCCGAACTGAGATGTGCTGTAAGTTATATGCCTGATTTTGGAGATTTAGCATGAAAAACAATAGAAAATATCTTAATAATTTCACAGTGATTAATGTTGAAATGCTAATATTTTGGGTATATTGTACTAAAAATTGATCTGCCACAGCGACAACATACAAACCAGCTTCAGCCTACTTCCTTCTTCCTCCACACTGTCCACTTCCTCTAGACTCCGCCCTCCGCTGGTAAAAGCTGGCAGTACATGGATTCTGCACCGCCCTATACATTGTGGCCTCAGGGGCCAGCTTACCTTTGTGCCTGGGATGGGGATGAAGGTCATGAACTCATCCACATGGCCCACAGTCAGCCAGTCTGAGTACAGCTCCACAGGTGCCTGTACCTGCTGGGCCTGCAGGAAGTCCCGTACTACCTTGGTCATCCTCCGGCCACCAGACCTGGGGGTGGGGTTGGGGAGGAGGCAGCTCTTCAGAAGGTTGCCCACAATGCCTGCAGTCTCTGGAGCCCTGGGGATCCAAGGTGGCATCGGTAGAGAAGTCACAGGAAGGAGCCTGAGCTACACGCAGAGAGACCTTGGCTCAGGAAGGGGTTTCGAGGCCACAGGGAAAGAAGGAGGTCTTAACTGCAGCCGTGGCCTATGTGAAGGGCATGGAGCTCTACCCCCAAAGCTGCCAGTGGGTGTGAGGAAACCAGTTTCTGTGCCCAGGGGTTCTGCCTGGACTGCTGGAGGAGGCTAGGGCAAAGGCATGGTTCCCAAATCTGCCCTAGTCCATGTGCCTCTTTGCTACTTTAACTTCTTCTCAACTTTAATCAATTCAGTGACACCTCCTCCAAGAAGACCTTCCTGACTTCTCAACTCCCCGCAGTCTACAGCCTCCCCATTACCCAAAGAAAATAACTCAAGATCCTCCCGATGGCCTTTCTTTCTGATCTGACCCCTGCCTGGTCTTCCTATCTTATCTCCCTCACTTCTGCTGTTTGCTCAGCCTCCTGCTAAACTTGTTAACGTCCCAAGGCCTTGCCCTTGCTGTTGCTTCTATTTGGAATGTTTTCTCCCTTTGATCTTGTCATGGTTGCCTCCTTTTCATTATCCAAGCTTCAATTTCAAAGTCATGTGCCCCAAACCACCAAAGCTAATGTACCCATGGCCCTGTGGGGCTGGCAATTGGAGGGCAGGCACTGCCAGATAGAGAATCCCATGTGGTGCTGAGGGACTTGGTGCCCAAATCCTGACTGATCTCATATGGGTGGGTTCCTGGCAGTCTTTTTATAGTATGAGCTCCTTCCCCAGCCTGACCAAGGAGGAATCAGGCTCTTTGTTGGCTGGTAGCGGGGACAGGCATTGTGGACAGCCAGGGAGCCAAGGACTCATGCCTCTGGGGCTGGGATCCTTCTCCGAAATCTTTCAGAGGTTGATACTCCTTTTCTGAATTCCTCCATGGTTAATAATCTCATTATATACCTTCTCATTTTGGGAAGAGTTATTTATTTAGTCCTATATTAGATCCTAATTCATACTAAGATGTAACTCGCTTTTCTTTCAAAAGCGTGTGTGTCTTATTGGAGAGTTACAGGAGGGGTTAATTCTCCCAGCCAGTCACTCAATGTATGAGTAACCCAGCTTACCCCTAAAGAGAAACATGGCCTTCCTACCCCACCCAGGTGTCTCTTACAGAGGAAAGCTGCTCCCGATGAGGATCCGGCCCAGGGGGTAGGTCTTGCCGTTCACAGTCACTGGGGGGCTGACCTCCAGATTTCCAAAGGAATCAAGGCTGCTGACGGCCTCAGAGGGGGCTTCCCGGGTCACGTAGCCAAAGTCCGGGCCCTGGACAGGGGCAGACACCCATCATTAGTCTCTGAAGCCAGCAGCCCATAGTCCAAACCCCCCACCCTCTGATGACCTTCACCACCTTCCACCTGGTGTGAACGTGGGGGTGTGTGCATCTGGGTCTCTGCCTATGTCTGTTTCCCAGAGACATAGAGTTGATTTTGGATTAGTCCTCATCTTGTGCTACTGCTGTCCCTGCTCATCTCTTAATTGCTCTGACCCTCAGTTTCTCCATCTGTAAAAGGACTGTTGGATTAGGCAACCTGAGGCAGGAGGGTAGACTATATTATTATTTCTAGAGACTTGCTATTCATGCTATTCTCATCCCGCTTGTGACTTCTGGTCTCTCCCCGTGGAAGGGAATACTTCCCCGCCCTGAGGCAGACTTGGTCACGAGACATGCTTTGGCCAATGAAATGTGAGCAAAGGGACACATGCCAGTTCAGAGCAGAAGTCAACAGCTGCATGTTGCCTGCCAACTCTCTCTCTCTTTCTCTCTTTTTTTAAAGATTTATTTATTTATGCATACAAGAACTGGGGTGCAGGGGTTAAAGACAGCACTATCAAGCTATCAAGCTATGGCCAGCCACTGCAGCACGAGTTTGATCCCCTGCTGGCCAGGGAGCTACCACCATGGCACAGCAGACCTCTCTTTTTCTTCTCCTTTGCCAGGAGCCTGTTATTTCCCCAGACTGGGGCTGCTCCTGCAGCCTGGGCCCTAGAATGTGTGAACAGACTAAGATGTTCTGGGAATGACTCCTCCTTGGCTTAGCAGGCAGGAGAACAAAGCCATCTCACAGACTTGAAGTCTGTGAAGCAGCTACACAAAACCTGCTGCCTGCAGGTAAAGTCATCTTTCTACCTCCCACGAATGGCCAAGGAGCTGGACAAAGCTGTAACCCTGGGTCCTCAGCCTGAGTGTCTCCACAGCGCATTCTTCAGAAAGGAAGTGATTAAATCCCAGCATTGCCTTCCTCTGGGCACAGATGGGATCAACATGATTTTAGGTCAAAATACCTTAGGACCAGAAGCCTCCCTGTCAAAAATAATTACATTTCTGACATCAGTGACTCACTGTTTTTACCTAGACAAACTACATTCAAACCAGTGATGGTTGGAACAACTCTTCCAGGTTCAAATCTCACTTTGATTACCTAAGAAACTTTGTTTTACTATTACTGAGACTTTTATTCCAGTTACCGAGGGAGAAAGGCATGAGGCAGAGAACTGCAGACAACCAACCAGCAGTCAACAGAGTGCAAACAGGAAATGTTGCTTGCACTATTGTCAGGCATAGAGACTCGGGGCTGTTTGTTACTGCAGCCTCACCTAGTGAAAGCTGACTATACACGCAGGAACAGCAGCTATTTACCATAGATGCCATTCCAACCCATTCCCAAACAAACATATTTGTTCACTGAGTCCAGATGCAGCCTCAGAATACTTCTTAGCACAGAGATCCAAGAGATTGGAGAGGGCAATGATACAACTCAATGAGTCACTGAATTTTAAGGTTCCTTTCATAATGTTTTGGTAAAAAAAGATAGGAGCATAGTTTGGAAGCTTGCATTGGGGCTGGGGCTGGGACTAAGCTGGCCTGACAGAAATCCTTATTTAAAAAACACCATGGAGTGGGAAGACGTGACTTATCCTGCCCCAGCTGAGAGGCAGGAGGCTGGCTGGCAGTGCCAGGTCGGTGGATGGCTGCAGATTAGCGCGTTCTCGCCTGGGAGCCAGTGAGTTGTGGATTTGCTGGAGCCCAGGGCAGCTGGTTTCACAGCCTCACACGGCAGTCAGGCACGTCACACAAAGCCCAGCCTGGCCCAGGCCTCTGGGAACAAAGCAGCCGGGGCCTTGGATCTGGGCCAGCCTGGAACACTGCAGGCGGGTGGTGCCCCGGGAGGTAGAAGGAGAGCAGGAGGCAGGAGGCCGTGGTTCTCATGTCCGTGGTGGCCACACTAGTGGCAGTTTGACTCCACTTGGCCTGGTGTTGGAGTAAGTGGGCAGTCCTCACTGAGGGCAGTGTCCAGGGCTGTGGGATGATAACCAGCTAATCACAGGTACTTATCAGGTGCAGCATGGATGCCTCATGAGATGCCTTCAGTCTTCAGAACAACAGATCTGTGAGATGGACAGTTTCTATACCCATTTGACAGATGAGTAAACTGAGGCACCAGGAGGTGAAGTTGCTTGGCCAAGGTCACACCTGAGTGGTGGAACCAGCACTCAAGACCAAGTTCCCTGACATTACAGAGCATAGCTCTCTCCCCATTGGCTCTACCGCTCCCTGCTAAGGGGACCAGGGAATGTTCTCTAGAAGTAGTTATGAAGCTGGCAAGGGTTTGCCCTGTGTAGCCCTGACGGCTCCCGGCTCCTGGAGAGACTGTCCTCATGTGACCTGGAGAAGGTCCCTCGCCAAACCCCCTGATTGTGGGGGGAGGAGGCCAAAAGACAGTGATTTTGGTTCAACCCTCACTCACATAGCAGTTTATTGATGGAAGTTGAAATGGCCTCCAGAATCCATGGAATCAGATTCATTTAAAAAACTCACACAAGTGTTGAACCAGAACAGCATTTTCTGACAATTGTTTAAAAGTTTTTGCTTTGAAACATATTTTGCTGTGAAGTGGGGGGTGGGGGCAGAAGTTAGGGTGTCTGCCTCTCGTACTTCCCATTCCCCCTGAGAAAACGCTTCAGCGTTTTTGAAAAACATCAGTTATCAGAGCAGAAGGGGCCTCAGCGGTCACTATCCCAATAGAGACCTATTTTGCAGATGAGACAACAGAGGCCCTGGGCAACAGGCTAATTTACAAAGGGTGCCCAGGGCCCCCTGACTACTCTGTCCTGTAAGAGTCCCCAGGATAACCCCCCTGCTCTCCAAGTGGCCCTGAGCATCTCACCAGGAGCTGCTTGATGGGGAAGTCCTTCAGGTTTCCATCTCGGGGGGAATCCAGCACCACAGGGAAGCCTTTGTGGGGCGCCTCGATGTAGCCAAACTCGATTTCATCCTGTGGGGATACCAGGGAGAGCTGTCAAATGATCACAGGGGGCACCAGTGAAAACCAGCCCACCTGAGTGGGGTGGGGCGGGGCCTGGTAACAGACAGGTCATTTGTACAATGAGCAAACGACTAAAATAGCACAAAAAGGCGCAGCGTGAAAAGTCCATCTCATCCATCCCCTGAACCCTGGTTTCCATTCTCCATCCCACAAGCAAAGGATGGCAGCAGCTTCTCACCTCCCCTTCCACCAATAGTCTCTGCATACCCCCTGCATGTTTACATTCACATGGACCCCATTTTTATGGACATAATTGGCAGCATCCTATATAGATATTATCCTGTAAATAATACCTTATCTTGAAGTACATTCTGTAACTACAGATTGATTTCATTCTTTTAAACTGTTGTATAGTACTCCACATGAAGACCATTCCACTAAATGGTTATTCAGTTTCTCATGGCGGGGCATGTTGTACAGTCTATTGTAAATGCCTTAGATAGTAACATTTCTGTGCCCACATGCATATATGACCTGACAGCAGAATTCCCACAGGAACTCCTTGTCCCAGGTGGAGCTACTGGATGCCAGGGTTTTTATGTTAAGCCAGCTCCTCTGGCCTGATCCCTGGGCTAGCTCCTTCCTAGTCCAGGCTCCTCACCTGGATCCAGCGGTCGCCTCGGTTCATGTACTGGAAACAGACTTTCAGTTCACAGCTGGTTTTCTCCACCAGGTTCTTTATCTCTTTCAGGAACAAGTAATTGTCCTTCATGCTGAGAAGTGTGGGGAACAGGGGGAGATCAGAGGGGAGGGACAGACAAGGAGCAGCTCACTGAGGTGCTGATATCAGTTGATGCCTCTGGGCCACACTGGGCAGACCAGGCCACATCTATGTTTACAGTCATCTTTGCAAAGATGGCTTGAGTCAAGGCCAAGTACACTCACCTGCTTAGGTGGTGTTTGCTAAGGCCATGAGCCAACAAAAAGAGGAGGAGAATCTTACTCCCGCCCCCAAAGCCTTCAGGGCTGACTCCCCAGATTTCCAAAGAAGAGCTATGCCTAGCACACAGGCCCAGGATCTCAGGGGTCCCTTTTGGTGTGCAGGCATCACCTACAGCACTTCTTTCCCCTGCTTCTTATCTTGTTGTGGCTGGTACCTACTAGGTGTTCAATTTAAAAATTGCTGAATGAGTAAGATGAGCTGAATATCATTGCTTAGGGAGTTTTCAAGCTAAGGCCGAGAATGAAAAAAAAAACCACAGCAGTTATTTTTAGAGCGCAATCTCTGTGCCAAGACCATGGGTTAATACTTTGCTTGCTTCAAAGTATTAAAGTGACTCTGTGATGTCTGCATTTCTGAGATAAGGAGGCACAGAGAGGCCAAGTACATTGCCCGAGGTCACACAGCTGGCAAATGATAGAGCTGGGACCTGAACTCAGGTCTGTCTGCCTCCCTGGCCCTTGGCCACGGCCATGCTGCCTCTGGGCACCCCTTACCTGCACACAAACACCGACACTGGGGGCAGGATGTTGGGGGTCATGATCCACGGAGCAATCCGGAATGTCACAGTATCGGTGAAGATGGGTGTCAGGGGAATCTCCTGAGAGTGGGAGAGAAAGTGGAGGGGGGGCATCAAAAAGTCTTGTCAGGGTACTTTCCACTTTTGCCTTCCAAAGGGGGTGAGAGTGATAACAAGAGTACATTTATTAAGCACTTACTGTGTGCCAGTCATGCACTGATTCATTTTTGCCTGACAAGCCCGTAAGTAGACACTATTTTAACCCTTGTTTTACAGGCAGGGAGACTGAGTCACAGAACTGCTAGGTAGTGGTCCAAGGTCACATAGTGAGTAAATGGTGGTCCCGCTGCGGAACCCACACTCCAAACTACTGTCTGATCTTACCCCATCAAAGCTCTTTCTGAAATCAGCTCACGTGACGGCTGAGCCAGCCCCGACGCCTTCTGATTTTGTTCTGGGCATCTTGTCCTTTCCTACGTGTTAGCAATTTTACATTGTTTTGGGGGAATCTTGCTATGTCCAGATTGTTCTTTGTTTTAAGGAAAGGTTCAGGAAGCAGGCCTGGGACCCGAGAGAAAATGAGATAGGATTTCAGGGTTCCTTTGCGAGGTTGGCTGTGAAAACCACAGCAGACCGGCCCTGGCCTTGGAGGGGAGGAGTCCTGGCTGCTCTTTCCTGCCTGGTCTGCCTTTGGTGTCTGCAGGTGCCTGCTGGAGGGGCCAAGCGGAGAGGCCCTGACAGCCAGGCTGCGGCTCCAGGCCCGTGGGAGCAGAACCCCCTCTTCTGTCCACCCCATCCTGTAACTCTGCCTTTTCCTCCTCCCAGGGAGCTGGAGACGAGGCCGTGGATGAGTCCTTAACAAGGCTGGGTGCTCACAATCCCCCAGGAAGCAGGCGCTTTCGTCGTTTCTACTTTACAGATGAGGAAACGAAGGCACAGGGAGTCAGTTTACTCCCCTGATGCCTGTGGACTCGAGCCTGGGCAGTCTGATTCCAGAGCCCAGTCTCATAATCGTAGCTAGACCCAGCCTCACTGGCTGCAGAGCCCGGGGCGTCCTGCCCTGAAGTTGTGCGGGGACGAGAGTGGGTGGATCCCTCAGTCTGGGAGGGCAGCCGGGCCACCCCATATATAAGCCAGAGGGGTGGGGGGTTCTGGGGCTGGTGTCTCTCTGACAAGAGGGTCTTGTGGACAAGACACACCGAAGCGAGGGGACATCTCTAGTGCGGCAGGTATTCGCTTTCTCATCCAGTTTCCCTCAATCAAGAGCAAAGCCACAGGTTGGGGGCATGACCTGGGACTGGGATTTGGGGTTTGGCTAAAGTTAGAGATTGTACAATCCGTGGCTAGGAAGAGGGGTCAATCTGGGGTGACTAGGGAGTACAGGTGATAGGTAAACTTCACAGGTGTGGCCTAGTTTGCCCCTTGCTCTAAACATTTGGGGTCTCTGTGTCTCAGGATAAGGCCCACACCCTTCAGGGAGGAGGGCAGACCCAGGGACAGGCATGGTGATGTCAGAAAACACACCCAGGGGAGCTCTGGGAAATAGGAAGAGCAGGGCCATAGCTCAGAGGATCTGGCAGACTCTGAGTGGGTGGGGGTGGCTGGGGGCATCGTTATCTCTTAGCCTGGACCCCACTTTGGGGCTTTGAAGGGTGTGGGCATAAAGGGGGCTCCAGGGGCCTCCCTTCATGGCGGAGGCCTGAAGCGCTCACCTCGGCCATATATTCCAGCAGGCTGACGTGGATGGAGACCAGGCCTGAGAAGCCCTCGTCGGGGAAGCGGAGGCCTTCCACAAAGAACAGCAGCTCTGCGCAGCCGCCCGTGTACTTGACCACGTGGTAGAGCTTCTTTCGGCCCAGGATGTGGATATAACGCTGGCCGAAGAACGGGTCTGGAGGGAGAGACCAAGGTCAGGCCCCCAGACCTGCCAGAGGAGGTCAGTGGGGCGGGCTCCCCTACCGGGAAGAGATGGCACAAGACTCGTCCTCTAGACACAGAGAAGCACCAGGAGGGCTGCGGCCCGGTCCTGGCCCAGCACTGCTTCATGCTGACCATGGGGTAAGAGACCAGACAACATCTGGCTGCAGGTGTCCTCGTCTGTAAAATGAGTAGCCTCCCAGGCAGGGCACAAGGAAACTACAGCAGGTGATGGCCGAGCAGTTAATGATGTCGAGGAGCGAGGCTAGTGTTCACCCATTTTACAGATGAGGAAAAGGAGTCTCAAGAAGAGAAATGACTTGTCTGAGGTCACAGAGCCAGTGAGGAGCTGAGGTGGGACTCAAATTCCTGTTTCATTCTAACCGTCCAGCTCCCCTCCCCTTTGCATAAACAGAATATTAATGTGCCCATTGGTACCCAAAATTCCTCTCTGCCAGGTTCCCATGAAGACCCTTGTGTTGGCCTCTGGCTGTACATTTTCATGGCTGGGAGCAAAGGCAGATTTCCCCAGCACTCCTGCTCCTCTGAAACCTGTCAGCCGTTCCCTCTGCATGGAACGGTCACCTCCCTCCTCCTGCTGGCCTTGACGCGTGTCCCTCCAGGCAATCCTGCCCAGATTCCTCTCCCCCACCCCAGACCAAGCCAGGGGCTGTGCTTGGAGCTTCTGCGTCCCCCTGTCCTTCCCCATCACAGCGCCTCTAAACCCATGTGACCTCAGTGGTTACTTGTTGGCCCCGAGAGACTGTCACCTGACAGGGACAGAGACAGTGGTCATGTTTAATAAATGCTTACTAAATGGATCCATGGCTCCCACTCCACTCCCTATAGGAGAGGCCAAAGGAGACTTTTCAGGACAATTCAGAGCACAGGTGTTGAATTATCACTCTGTGACCAACATGGGAGACAGAGATGGGCAAGATGTGGCATCTCTGTCCCTCGGGGAGCAGAAGATAAGACAGTGCAGAGGTGGGAAGCATTACGAAGAGAGAGAGGGAGAGACCCCATTGGGTTACTGGGGTGGGACTGGGGGAGTGAGCAGTGGAAGGCAGCTTTCAATGTGCCCTTCGGAGTGCACTGAGAAGAGGAGATACTTGCATTGACAAAGGCATGAACTATGCAGATCCAGAAGGACTTTCTTTATGCCTTGCAGAGCTGGAAGGGCAGAATCAAGCTTAGTACTTAGTGCTTAGTCAACAATGGTGATGCCTAATGACTGTCCCTCAAGGGTTAGAACACGTAACCAGGACAGTCCTGGCACAAACAGGGTGCTGGGTTAAAAGTGGTGAAATGAACAGAGGGCTTTGTTCTTCCACTCAGGACGGCTTTGCTATGTCATAGGGCAACATGTTCAGCTAGACCTCGGCGTCACCAAGGGCAGGTCGCCTTTGTGTTGTGATTTCCAGACTGCTCTGGCTTTACCAGCCAGACTGCTCTGGCTTTACCGCTGGCTTTACCAGCGGAACCTCAGGGAATTTCCAGAACCTCCCTAAGCCTCAGTTTACTTGTCTGTCAAATGGGGTGATAGCACCTAGGCGATAGGGTCACTGTGAGATAAAACAACACAGCAACCTGAGTAACCACGGTAACTATCCACAAGCCACTGGGACCTGTTGGTTTTACTGTTATGACTACCTGTGAAGGAGCTGGGATGCCCCTTATTGTAAAGTTCATGACATTTTGTCTTAAGGACACAGGACAAGAAATAATACCTCACGCCCCACCCTCTTGAAATAAAGCAGATAGATTTCAGAGACTGGGTGTTCCAAAGAACTCATCACAGCCCCACACAGAAGGATGGCCCTTCTCAGGAAGGACTGTGAACCATGAGCCCTGGGCTGGTCTCCCAGTAGATCCAGCTGGATCTGCATAATTAAATACTCTCCCCAGGCCCACGTGCCCCAGGCTGCACTTGAGGTGATGCTCAGGGATGTGACCTCAGGCCTCGCAGCCCACCTGTCCTTGCTGAAAACTCCTCCAGGCCAGAGTGGAGGTGGGGTTACCACCAGTACTGGGGTGGGGGAGGTCTGGCCAGAGGAGCTGGGTCAGGTGGAAGGACACACAGTTTGCTCCCTCCAGTGGCCTGCAATTTACAAGTATCTCTTCCGTGCCTCTTTCTGGCCTCTTGGGCCAGCTCTAGGTGGATTGAATGGCAGGAACAATCCAGCATTGTTCCAATGTCCTTCCCACCCTGTCCCCAGCTTGGTGAGGCCCGCCGGAGTGTGACCGGCTCTCCTGCAACAATGCCCTCTGTGTATCAGCTGTCCTTGGGTCTCAGCTGGGCCCACGGGCTCCCTGACCACTCCCTACCCCCGGCATTGGCCCTGCGGCCAGCGTGTGGAATGGTTTGGCATAACCCCTTCTGGTCACCTCGGAGCAGCTCCACCTCCCTAGGAGGCATCTGCGAGTGTGTCCCTCTGTTCTGGTTTGCCCAGGGCTGAGGGGTTTCCCAGGATATGGGGTCTTAGCGCTAAAACCTGGGGAAAAGGCCTGGTGAGCCTGGACCAGCTGGTCACCATATCCTTGTAGGAAACTCAGGTCCCAACTTCTGGGGCCCTGGCTGCAGCAGAATCTGAGACTGAAGCACGGGGATGAGGTTGGCCCTAACAGTACCGGTCACTTCTGTCTGCTCTGTGGTTAAAATTAATAATCATCATAATCCTGGCAAAGGCAACAGAGCCTTCCCCGGGTGGGCTGCTGTGTCCAGGGCCTGCGCCTGTCCCTGCCTTCATCCCCACCTCCAGGCCAGCTGGCTTCTCAGTGTCCCCATCACAGCACAGATGAGGGGTGCAGCTGGTGAGATTAGAATATGGGCTCTGGGGCACCCTCTCAGAGTCCCTCGACCTCCAGCCCAGCCCCCCTGCGCTCGGGGACACAGGTGATAGCCGATTAAGGTAACACAGCGCTTCTCACTGACAGGTATGCTTGGGTTTTGCCAAATCCCCAAAGTGTGTGCATGGAGACAGGGCGCTGCACCACAGCTAGATGAGCCTTCATCTCAAATTCCACCTTTGTGGGGTCGTGGACTATTTGAGAGCACGGCTGTGTTAGTCATGCCGCCCCTGCAGCCAGCAGCCCAGAGGGAGATGGGACGAATCTCAGAGCGTTTGCACTGCGGTTCCTCTTTTTCTTGTCTGCTCAGGCCCATCTTGGAGGGCAGCGACGGGGAGGCATGTGCGGATGGGGCCTGACCTCAACCCACTCCCACCAACAAAACAGCCACCTTTTAGGTGCTGTGCTGGTGTCACAGTGAACAGTCAATCTTGTATCACAACTTGGGGTCACTATGGAGAGGCCCTGTGGCCCTCTGGCCCCCGAAGCAGCCGGATTCCCCGCGGCATCCCTGGCCTGGCTGGGGTAAACATCAACATCTCCCGCCCCTGGGGGCAGCAAAGTGGCCTGATTCTGGGGACATTCCAACCTGTGTGAGGTCACTGCCCGGGCCCAGGGTGGATCCGGAGGAGGGCTGGCTTTGGATGGCAGCTGGCCACCTCTGTCCTGGCAAAATCACTCCCCAGGGTGATGGTCCAGGGACCCCATAATGACTCTTTTGGCTGCCCTCCTGGTTCCAATGGGGCCTGTCTGGAGGTGGGCCCCAGAGCTTAGCCCGAGATCCGTCCTCCCCAGACAGCCGGGTGCTTGGGGAAGCTCTGGCTGCACCATGGCAAATTGCAAAGCTAACTATTTTGCTGAGCGAGCTTTTTAATACATAAATCAGATCTTGACAGTCCCTTGCTTAGAACCTTCGAATGATTTTCCACTGCCCTCATAATAAAATCCAAGCATGCTCTGGCCCCTGCCCAGTCCTCTGACCTTGACTCCTGCCCATCCACTCCCCACCCCTGCCCTTGCTCAGCTCCTCCACACTCCAGTGGCTTCCATCTCCACAGTTCATGTACACTGTCCCCTCGGCTTTGGCACACTCCTCCCGCAGCTCGGGAGTGACGAGTTCCGTCCATTGCTGGCGTGGGTCTCAGCTCAGGTGTCACCTGCTCAGAGGGGCCTTTCTCGGCTACCTAGGCTAGCAGAGCCTCACCCCTGCCTCTGCCATTCCATTACCTGGTCTGGCCATTTGCTCCAATGTGCCACCCGTTATGTCTCCCTCACTGGACTGTCACTCCCCAAGGGCAGGTGGCTGGAGAATTCACTGTAGGAATCCCAGGGGCGAACAGTGCCTGGTACCGAGGGGGTCAGCAAGAGCTGATAGAGGGAACCAAACTGAGCAGGCAGCTGCGAAAAAGCGCGTTCCCTGCCTGGTGGTCCCGGGATGCCCTGTCCCCATCAAGAGGAGCAAGGACAGGTCAGCTCCTCAGGTGCCCACTGCACCAACAGGTGCTCTTTAAAAGCTGGAAGCAGGTCTCAGTCCCAGAGGGCCAGAGAGGGGCAGAAAGCGCCCGAGGTGGGGTGGGGGGGTGGGTGGTATCAGCTTCTGATATCATGGAGGTGACATGACCCCAGGAAAGATGGATCTCGAAGGCGGATCCTCCCCCGGTTCCTTGGTGAAGGAGGGCCCGTGGATTCTGTATAAGCTGTCAGTACCGACTCCTCCGTGGGGCCTCCTGACCTCACGGGACAGCGGAGGCCCTGGTACCATCACCGGGGGCCAATCCTGACCCTCTCCAGTCACCCACACGGGCAGCGCTAGACCGCTAAGGGGAGGGTCTGGGAAGTCATAGGGGCTGAGCTGGACTGGGGGGTACTCAGTGAGCAGCATGGTGCTGCTGGAAGGACTGGGGGGGCACTCACTCTCCACGTAGAACACGCCCACTTTGTCCGAGTCCGACATGGAGATGTAGAGAACCATCTCGTAGCCGGCGGGGAGGCGGTCCGGGCCCTTGGTCCGCAGGATCATCTGGGACATGTCCTTGAGGTCTGAGGGGGGACACGGAGGAGGTTAGAAATTGGAGACTGGCTGATGGAATGCCGGCGACGGATGCCTGCTCCCTTCTTAGTCAGAGAGACCCCAACACGCATGTTGTGGAAACTGCAAAAAAGACAAAGGAGGGCAGAAAACTGGCTGTCATCTTGACACCAGAACCTCTCAGGAATTTCCTTCCAGCCCTTGTCTTAGGTATAGCTAACATTAAAAAAAATGGTTAAAAATACAGATGAACCATATTCATTGTTTTGTCTTCTGCTTTTAGCACACACAGATGTCCCAGTCCACCACCCCCAGGAAGCCCAAGGTCATGCCTGCCTCCACCCCGGCTCAGCCCAGGTCTCAGTGGGATGTTTCCAGGGCCCCACGCTGCCCCCACCCCAGGGTGGGACCCGCTGGCACCTTCCTTGCTGTAGACCTTCTGGTCACTGCAGTCCTCCATGGGCAGCCAGGGCGTGTCTCGGTCACAGTTTACCAGCAGGATGGCACCCTGGCCCTCGGGGCCCCAGCTCCAGGAGGCCTGCATGGCAGGGAGAGAGGTCAGCGCCTTCTTCTCCAGCTTCTGGCAGATTTTCCCAGCCCCAGGGCAGACCCTGCAGGACCCCGGAGACACAGCTCCCAGATGAGAATAAAGAGTAGTCGCCACCATTGGGGCAGCTGTGACCTGGCAAGCAGAGTCACCGTAAGCCCCCCAAGGCAAGCCCAGAAGGGGACGCAGGCACAGGAAGGCTGGCCAGGGCCTCCTTGAACCTCACACTGGGTACGTGCACCGGGAGGGGGCGCTGATGGAGGCAGTTGCTAGGTACCTTCCGCGGGTTGTTCTTCTCCACCACGCCATCCCGGTCGGCATCCACATCCAGGGAGATCTCTGGGGACAGACATGTGTGAGTTGCTGAGCCTGCCAGGCAAGCAGTGGGGAGACCTGGGGGAATAGGGTGCAGCTCCTCCCGTCGAAGGGGATGGCTCTCTGTGGCCATCTCAACCAACCCCACCTCAGCATCCCACTGCCACGGTGGCTATGAGGGGCTCTGTGCAGACTCTGCAGCTCAGGGGTTCGGAAGGTGCTGTCAGAAGGCGAGAGGCCCTCCCCCGCCACTGCAGTGTTTCTCTGTCAATTCTGGGAGCTGGGTGGGATGTACAGGCCTCGGATTCTGGGTTCAGAGAGGCCAAGGAAGTGCCCTGTCACACAGGTGGCAGATGTGGGCACACATGGCCGTTGGTCTGATTTGAAGCTCATATTTTATTTCATTTTATTTTTTAAAGATTTATTTTTATTTATGCATACAAGAACTGGGGTGCAGATCAGAGGTACAAGTGTGAGAGGATTTACCAGAGATAGAGTAGAGCAGAACAGGAGGATCCACTGAGATACACTGCTGAGGGGAGCAGCGGGCGAGGCAGGAGAGGTCTGCTGAGCCATGTGGGTCAGCTCCCTGGCTGGGGGTCGAAGCTGGCGATAGTGCTGAGACTTTAACCCCTGTGCCACTATGGAGGCCCTGAAACTCACATTTTAAAAGCTGCCTGGCCCAGGAGTCCCTAACTGTGTCTCCCAGGTTGGCCTGGGCATGTGCTCACGCGTGTTTGTGGGTATCTCTCTCCCAGTACTCCCAGTGCCCACAGCCCACCTTAAAGATCTAAGGGAGACATTTTGGGTGGGAAACTGGTCTCCAACCCAGGATCCGGGTCTGGGTCCTGCTTATCTTTTCTCTTAGAGAAGGAACCTTTGTAGGTTACCATGGCGCAGTGAAATGAGCCCAAGATTTAGCACCAGGCAGTTCTGGGTTCTAACCCTGTTTCCTGCTCACAACCCGTGTGGCTTAGGTCAGTTTAGACAGTGTCTCTGAGCCAGTTTCTTTACCTGCAAAGTGGGGCCCTGTAGTGTTAGAGGAGTTGCACCAATTGCAACTGTAGGCACAAGGGACGTTGTGAACTGGGTGATTCTTTGTTGTGGGGGGGCTGCCCTGTGCACTAGAGGATGTTTAGAGGCTTCCCTAGCTTCTGTGCCCTCGGTGCCAGTGCATACCCAGCTGTGACAACCAAGATGACTCCAGAAATTGTCACATGTTCTGGTGGGGGGGGTGGGGGGATGGGTAAAGGAGCCCCCTGAGTTTGAGACTAACTCGGTGTGGCCAGGAGTGTCTGGGGAGGTGATGGCAGAGCCAAACAGGATGAGATGAGATGGGTCCAGGCCCCGAGCTGCCCAGGTGGGCTCAGCCTCACTCGACTATCCAAGTCGCGTGTGACTTGGACGGAGGTGGGAGCTGGGTGGGAATGAAGGTGTTCCTGTCAGTCCCCTTGGCAGGTGGGCCCTCTCCTAGGACTGGGTGGGGAGGAAGGACCTGGCACAGGAAGGGCATTGTCGTCACCCTGCCCGGGACGGCTCACCCTGAGTCTGGGGATGACTTCCAAGTCCTCCCTCTGCCTGCAACCAGGCTTTTCTGGGCTTAGGAGGAAGCTTTCAGGGTACCTGGTCCTTGGGCAAGGCAGCACTCCCAGGTGCCTTCTTAGTCACCCTACTGGGGTCTAGGTACTTTCAGGCATAGTTACATAAACTGGCCCCCTGATCCCACTCTACAGACCACTGCTGAGCACCTGTGCTCAGCAATCAGTGCTCAGGGTCCGTGCTCAGAGTCCTCAGTCCGTGCGACAAATATTGTTTCCACTTTTCAGTGAGCAAGCCCAGGCGTAGGGATGTCACCTGCTAACAAGTGTCAGCAGGCCGGGGCAGGATCAGGATTTCGGGGAGAAAGCAGGGAAGGTGCTATTTTTACCAGCTGCTGCTAAGCCTCTGCTGCTGTTAAAGGTGCTGATGGCTCTGTGGAGGAGCAATACTGGTTTTGGCTCCCAGACCGCCTTGAACTTTCCAGTTGGGCGCTCCCCAGTGCACGCTGCCTGTCACGGAGGTTGGCTGCCTGAAGCTCCACGTGGGAGCCTCTCTCTCCCTCTGCTTTTCAAGATGACAGTCACCCTGTACAGATACTTGGCTTTGCCAGTTGCGGAGCCTTGTGACACCAGGAGAGAGGAGTCATCATCCACCCAGCCGCCCCACCTTGCAGAGGAGCAAACAGGCACCCAGCAGGGAAGTGACCACAGAAGTCCTCAGGAGGACAGAGCTGGGCCTCCCACTCGGGCCTCTGACTCCAGACCCTGTTCCCTCCACTGACCCTGGCTGATCTGTACACTGGGCTGTGTCCACAAGTCAAGGCTGTCTTCAAAGACTCAGACCTACTCCCCGAAAGTCATGCCCAGAGGAGGGGCCCCTGTGCACCCCTGCAGCCCAGCCTCTCTCTTAGAGGCTCTGCTGGTGTGAAGCTCAGGCCCAGGAGAAAAAGGATGCAGGATCCTCTAGTGCTTTACATCATTCTGAAGTTCTTAAACTTGTCCATGCAATATTTGCGCCCAAAGAGAAATCAAATAGTAGCAACAGCTCCTAAAGAAAAAACCACAGATCTCTTTGTCCAGCCTTCTGCTCATCTGCCCAAGCCACATTTCCTCTGTGCCTGGGGGAGTCTGAAACTTACTATCTTCCTTCTGAAGCAATCTGAGTGCTAAGTCATATGTGCTTTGCTATTTCTTGAATTATTCAATTCAGATAATTTGCACTGACTTCCTGTTAGGAAATTCAGGCAGTGCAAAATAGGGCTCCAGAATCACCCGCCTCTCCCAGCCTCCCACACGATTTCTCCCTCATGACCCATGTCCGGTCTCCTCAGTCAACTGAACTGGCTGCCACTCCCCTCCACCCTGCCTCGGAAACCCCCTCAAGCTATAAGCCATGCTCGGAGGGCTTTTCCTAATAGCCCCCAAAGCTTCCTCCCAATGTCCAATTTAACCTGATTCCAATGGGCGGTTCCTCTTAAGGACTGGGAACAGGCACCACCTGCTGGGAGCGCTGCCTGCCGGGGCCTCTGCCTTCCTTGGGGGGAGGTGGAGGACGTCTGCTTCAGGGTCTCTAGGTTCCAAAGGCCTGAATCCTACCTAAGCTCCTTGGAGCAGCTCCAAGGTGTCAGGTGGCACCGGAGGTATAGGCAGGTTACGGGAAATGTCACTGGGTTGGGTTCAAGGCAGTTTGCCCTGAGGAGCCAAACATGGCAGCCTCAGCTTCCACACAGACCAAGTGTCTTGGCGGGTCGCCGGCTCCTGGGGGCAGTGGCAGGGCTCCTGGCCTTCTTACCTTACTGGATAGCGGCGGGTGTGGTGGGAGGAGAGATGCTTTCCCACAAGGCCAACTAGGGCAGTTAGCCTAGGCTCTGGGGAAGGGGCACAGGGAGGAGGCCCTTAGGTTGATGCTGGACATTCTCAAAGCTCTTGTCTATAGATCACTCCTCTCCCACGTTCCCCCCTAATAGGGGGGCTTTGCAAATGTCATGAAAGGTCCTCAAGGATTGTGAGCAAAAAACCTCCTGTTACAACTGGGGAAAGTGAGGTGCAGAGGGGCTGGGTTAATTCAAGGTCACATAGCACATCTTTGGGAGGACTGAGAACAAGTACCAGGCCTGATTTGGTCAAAGGCCCCATGAGCTTGTTCCCAAATCCCAGAAGGAAGATGGAGGGATAATAAGATTCTCCAATCTCACCCAGGGGATGGGTGGCTGCCCTACGAGGAGGGAGAAAAGAAGACAGCTTTGACCAGTGCCTACCCCACCCCAGGCCCTTTGCACATACCACCCCATCAAATCCTTGCGAGCCTGTGCTGTGGGTCCCATTTTGCAGATGAGGAGACTGGAGGCTCAGAGGGGATGATGGTCTCAACGTGGTTGGAGGGGGCAGAGTCAGAACTCGGACTTACTCTGTCTAGTCTGAAGTCAGGGCTCTTTCCACTTAAGGTGGGTTCAGGACAGAAAGGCGGGACAGCCCCTGAACATCTGGGGAGGCTCAGGGTGTTCTTGTCTGCCCAGTGCTACGCAGGAATGATTACTTAGGACATGAAGTTCAAGGGCCCCTGGGTTAGATGTCCGAGGGGAGGTAAGAACAGGAAGCTTCTGGCAGAGCAGTGGGTCCCAAGGGAAATGAAGTTTTCACCAGGGGTCCTGGTAGGACAGGAAACCTAACTCACCATGGGGTGAGTTTTTCACAAACTTTATGTCTGCAATGTAAATGCCTGTCTTTTGTTCTGAAGTTATGCCCTGCCTACTGTTCAGGTCTTCCAATGATGGTGATAACTGGTGGCAAATTGCTTTATTAATGTCCTTTTTCTTTTTTGGCCAAATGTCAGTGATTTTTTGGGGGTGGGGTGGGGTGGACATTTTCCTGGTCCCTGGAACCTAAACATCTAGAACTTGTGGCAGCTAAATAAATAATTGTTCAATGACAGCACAACCTCATAACCCCAGAGGGGTGAGGCTGGTCAATCCTCCTGGGTGTATTTGGGATCCTTTGGGGGCTTAGCCCTGCAGCTCCCTCTCAGGCATCCTCTGAGCCCAAGCTTTATGGTCTTCCAGGAGAGAGGGAAGGTCCAATCAGTCCTGCTTCCTTTCTAAAAAAATTCCTCTTTTATATTTATTTATTTTTTTAAATTTAATTTTTGGATTAAATGTATGACTTCTCCCTTCAGTCCTGCTTCCTTCTAGTGCCTTCCTTTGCCATCTGGCCTATGTCTATCTTGCTTCAATGGTGGAAGTCTCTTTAATAGGGCTCTCAGCCATCTGGGGTCACCCTCGTTTGACAGACCTCTGGCCATACCCTTCCTGCTGATGTCCTCAGGTGTCCCTGTCTCTGTGGGATTGGATTTCCTCAGGAGGCCATCTGGGGCTTTGTGCGCCTGTGAGCTTCACACACACACACCAGCCCTCAGCTGCTGCTCCATTATCATCTTCCAGACTCCCAGAGGTGGCCCTGGGGACCCTAGCCCAAGGTTGGGCACCTCCATGGTGCAGAAAGAGGGGCAGGTGACCAGCTGCTGGGCTTGTTAGGGAATAAGCTGGAGGCAGCAGAGCCCATCTGAGCAGCACTCTAGACCGCGATAGCTAAAGGACCCAGCTACTCTGAAACCCAGGCTGCAAAGGAGGCTTGGGAGCTAGTTGCTTTGGGGGGGAAGTTCTGAGACCCCTGGAGAACTTCAGTCATTGAAGTGACTCGGCACCCCACAAATGCTTTCTAGGGCTGTGGTCTCAGGCAAGGTCTATTTGCTTTCCTTTTGATGAGCCTTGATTTTTTCCATCTGAAAAATGGGGACAATAATAGTGTCTATCCTGGGACAGGGAGGGTAAGGAGGAGCTGGTGTAGACAAGGACAATGTTGTTTCCCCCACTTTGAGAGGGAAGCATCCTCCAGGCTGCGGGGGGTGGGAGGCTGGCTTTATTCTTTTAACTCTGTGGCCCATAGAGCCTGTGATGAGGACACTGACATTGGGTGCAGGACAGAAGGACCCAGGCACACCTGGCCTCACTCCACCGACCTTCATTATTTAGAGGCTCTGAGTGCCAGGTCTGTGTCACTGAGAACTCCCCAGGTGTCCCCGAGAAGGGCAGCAATGCTAGTTCCTGGGGACAAAGGCACTCGGGTTACAGCCGCACCAGCTCACCAATGGCCGTGAGGAAGAGCCCAGCCTGGTCGATGGGGGTGCTCCCTTCCTTCTCGTAGTAGCTGACGGTGACCTTGGTGGGGAGCAGGTGCAGTGGGAGGGAGAGAAGAGCAGAGGTCACAGGTCACAAGCAGGAAAATTTGCATCGACCTCCCTCCCTGCCTTCCACTTCATAGCCTGCAAGTCAACTCCCTCCAAATACCCACTCTCTTCCAGTAAGCACTCCTGGGTTGGTGGGATGCTTCTCCCAGATTATCAAATGAAATAGGGACTCTCCACCTCTCAGAGGGCAGCAGGGAGTGTCTGCCTCCCTGTGCCCCCTCCTGTGTTGTGCTGCCTGCAGGATGCCCACATCTGCCATGGTGGACTAGGTACCCTGGGCACGGGGCTGAGGTGGTTTTTCTTGCATAGTGCCCAACACCAACGTGGCCGTGGGCACATATTCAGGGAACCCCTTAGAGGGGTCTTATCTTGGCTTCATAACAATGGCAAGTCACTTGTCAACTGGGTGTTCAGCACCCTGTTTTATACATGATGAGACCGACCAAGGATGAGCATGGCTGTGACTTCTGGGGATTCCAATGTGGCATCATTCAGCAGGCCACAATTTTAACCTGGTGTGAAGCCACCGTCCCAGTCTAACACTGAACTAGGTGAGAGAGGAGCCAAGAGCCCTGTGCCTGGGTATCACGGCAGAACGCAAACTGTGTCACTGAACATTTCTTCATATTGACATCACGTCCAAATGGCAATATTTTGATTTACAGGGCTCAGTAGAACACAGTATTAAAGTTAAGTGCACCTGTTTCTTTCCCCTTCTGATGTAACTACTAGCATTGGGGGTCTCGATGCCCACTGGCCTGGCTCCCGGGGCCTGGTACCTTGTCGCTGCTGGCCTCCGCGCTCGCCTGGCTCATGCTGAGCCGCAGCGTGGTGCTGGGCGACAGGGGCCAGCGCTGCTTGCCATTGGTGGCCACCTCCTCGGCCTGCCCGTCATGCACCACCTCCACCTGCACGTACTCCGTGTGCTTCAGGCTGAATGTCTGTGCCCCGGCCGGCGCCGCGCTGTGGGGAGAGAGAGCCAGTTAGGGGGCCCACCGGGACAGGCGGGACAAGGGCCTTGGGGGGGCATCCCTGGAGGAGCAGGGCTGCTGGGCTCTCCCAGGTCGTCTGGTCTGAGGAACCCTGAAGGATCCAGCTGCTCTGCATTTATCTGGTCCTTATGAGGCTGCTAGTTACAAATACAGACTCACTGGGCCCATCTTGTGCTTACTGAGTGATGAGGGGCCTGGGGATCTGCATTCTTCACCAGTTTCCTGGTGCTTCTGGTGGGCAGAAGCCTCGAGAGCCACGAGATGAGGACGGCAGAGGAGTAGATTTGCTCCAAAGGCAGCGGGCTCGAGACCCAGCCTCCTAGCCCCTGCCCAGCATTGGGGTCGGAGTCCAGGGCAGGAAAATGCCGGGTTTACATGGGGAGAGAGCTTGGAACTTGGGTCCTAAAGGGGACCGGGAGGGCTGGGCTCTGTCACAAAGACCCCTCCTTCTTGCTGTAGTTGCTGGGGCTCGGCCAGCTCCTGGGAGTCAGCCATTTCTTGGGCTGCAGGGGCAGTTTCCTAAATACATTGGGAATTCTGAGACATCATCTAGCCTGGGGGGCAGAAAACGAACAAGGCCATTGGGGCCGCTAGGGACAGAGGGTGTTTGAATCTCCCTTAAATTCTTATGCTGAACACTTAACTTCCAATGGGATTATTATTTGGGGATAAAGCTTTCAGGAGGTGACTGAGCAGAAACAAAGTCCTGAAGGAGAGATCTTAATCTGATAGGGTTGATCCCCTTATAAGACAAGGCTCCAGAGCCCTCCCCAGACTCCAGCAGACACCCTGACCTCAGGCTCCAGCCTCCACAACCATGAGTTCATTTCTCCTTTTAAGTCACAGGACCTTTGGTAATTGGTTCTGTCAGCATGGGTGGAAAAAAGAGGCTTAAGGGGAGTTAAGGCAAAGGTCAGGGAGGCTGGGGAGGAAGGTGCCTGGGCTGGCAAAAGTTCCTAAAGTGAAAGAGGGCTGAGAGGGATTTCGGAGGGAGTCTCATGTGATCGGAGACAAAGTGTCTGCCTCAAAGCATAGCTGCTGTTTTGAGGGCCCAGGACTCCTGGGTTCTGGATATGGATAGTTCTCAACTATGGTGGGGCCTCAGGGTCATCAGGGCATGCTGTTTAAATATTCGGTTTTTGTAAGGTCACAACTTTGAAGATCTTGGCATTGGCAGAGGTGCGGCTGGGGCAGCTGAAAAAGTGAACGGTGGCCAGACCACTGCTTCTTGAAGTCGGGCAGCAGCTGGACCTGGAGGGGAGACCCCTCCTGAGTCTGAGTCAGGTCTAGAATGGGCCTGGGAACATGGGTGCCCAGCAGGTTTCCAGGAGCCACTGTGGTGCAGGTCTACAGGGTCTTTGAACCACAGGTCTGTCTGTGCTGTTTGGTAGTTAGAGCCCAGGGGACGGAGGCTATGAGTGGGAGTCTATAGAGGCCACCAGGTGGGGTCTCTCCAACTGCAGGGGCTTCCGGTCTTGGGCACTGGCAGGACGTAGTGGGCAAAGGCCTGGCAGCCCATGTTCAGTGCTAGGAATGGAGCTCAACAAAGCAGCTCTGGCCACTCTATCTCTTGTCCACAGCCCCCTTCAGAACTACTTAGCCCATCGAGGGCATCACAGGGACTCTTGCTGGCCGTGGCCTGCTGCCCTCTGTCCACAGCCATCATTAGGAGAGGCAGAGTCTATGCAAAAACCCTGGATACATGTACCTTAAATCTGGGTTCCAGCCCAATATTGACATCCACTTGTGAAGGGGTCTTAAGTGTGTCCCTTGCACATCCAAGAGTCCACCTGCTGACCCCTAAGACACACAATGACCCCCGCCTGTCCTGTCCCACAGGCCTGTCACTCATCCCCAGGGTGGAGCTGCATCTGGCCTCTTGTCTTTGGATTGTAAACCCCAAGGGCTGGGTCTGGCCGAGCTAGCCTAGCTCCTTGGGCGGGAGGAACATCCCCGACAAAGAGGGTGGAGCTACACACGCTAAGACTTCGTAGGAGGCACGTGGATGATTGATTTAAGAGAAGACTAAGTGGCTCAACTGTGCATAGCGAGGAATAAGGGTTGGCCAGTTCTGGTCAGGACAGCAGAACTCTGTTTAAGTTATAAGAACAATGTGAGTTGATTTGAGAAAAAAGTTAAGTTTTTAATTTTAAGATTTTAAAAATTTAAAAATTTTAAGGACTATAGGTGGAATGTGGTTTTGGTAAAGATCATGAATCCGGGAGATCAAGGGCTGGGGACCGGGACACATCCCTCCAGGGCGAGTCCGGCTTTATCCATCGCCTCCTGGATGGCCTTGGGGAAGGCTTCCCTCAGTTCAAGTGTAAATGAGAGGAGAGGAGAGGTCACAGGCGGCTGGAATCGGGAGCACAGGGGGACACCCTGGGCCAGGGGTGGGCAGGAGGCACTGAAAAAGCGGGGGCTCTCCCTGCCTCCCACAACCGGCACCACTGTCACCTCATCTGGTTTCATATATTGAGTTTCTGCATGCAGTTCTTTCCCTCTTCTCTTTGTATGTTGTTTTTTTTCTTGTGCATACAATTCTATTTAGAAAAAAAGTGCTTTACCAATGCACGGGGCAGGATGCTCTTGGAGGGTGTGAGCTCTTACAAAAGGTGCTGCAATTGATCCATCCTGCTGCTTTCATTCCTTGGGGCCAGTGAGAAGCTGGAGGAGGCCCTAGAGGCTCAGAGGGTTAATGCCCGCTGATACTGGCACTGCAGGGCCCCACAGCCTCCTACCACCCCCCAACTAGGCAGGCTCTGAGCTGAGCAAACAGCTATTCTTGGATCCAGGCTGGCAGAAGCGACAAAGGCACCCATTGTCCCGGGTGGATCCTGCTGGCAGCTCCCTCCCCAGGAAGAACCTCTCAGAATTCCCGGCAGAAACCCAAAACCGAGAGCCTGGGTTGTGGGCACCTATTGTCCCTAGAGGCTACAGAGAAGGGCCCAAAAAGGTACCCAGGGAAAAAATGGGGTGCTGGGAGTGGCCATGATCTCCTGCTTAAGGGAAAGAGGTTCAAGATGGTGTGTGAGAACTGCATTTTGGGACCTCTCTTCCTGAAGGCCTGGAGAAACTGTCAAATCCCTGCATAAACTAGTGTTAGCACCGGGACCCTAAGGCTCTCCAGGCCTGCGCTGGCCAGAGGCAGCTCCAGGAAGATCAAAATGACAGGAGCCAAGCAGAACCTTGCCAGCAGCCCCAAGGCTGACATATAGACACCAGTTTTCGAGTCAGAACAACCAGAACATTCTGACCCTTCAAAGTCTATGAATGAAAACCAGAAACTGTCATCAACATTGAGTGTAGTGATTGATTTCTGTGTTCCTGGATGTAAGAAAATGACTATTTCCTTCTTTCCTCAAACTCGGGACTGGTGGAGCAATTCCCTGAGAGTGAAATTAGTGGAGTCCTTATTTTATCTAATGTTAGAAATAGAGTTTCCTGGGGTCATCATTTCAGTTCATTGGTAGATGGAAGGACAGGCTGCTAGGCCCAGGGCCACGTCTGCTCTGCCCACCTTGTTGTCCCAGATCTCGGCCCTTCATCCATTGGGAATAAATGAACACATGAATCCACCCTTTTTGGTTTCCCAAACTGTATTATCAGAGTGATTTAAAAAAAAAAAAAAAGATTAAAAAAAAAAGAAATCAGGTCACTCGCCTGCTTGAAAATATTCAGATGACTCAGGGTCTGCTCATACATTGAAACCACTGGAGGGAGGCCGGTGATCGCCAGGGCCTGGAGACACTGCGTGCCTCTCAACTGACTCTCCAGCCTTATCTCCCGCAACAACCCCCACTGTCTCAACTCCCCACATTGTTCCACCTCACTGTATACTTTGCACATGCTGTTCCTTCTGCCTGCAGTACTTTCCCCAGCTTCCCTGCCTGCTAACTGTCCATCTTCCTTGGAGACCCAACTCCATCAGTGTGTCCTGGGTTTGTTTTACCTTGTGGCAGTGAATTCCCTGAAGGAAGGGGTTGTATTTTCCTTTTGTTTCAGTACCTGATCTCGTCTAGGAATACAGTAAGTATAAATGTTTGCTGCAGGAAGGACTGAAAGAGTAGGGATTGCTTATGTGGTCATTTATGCAATATGCATTTATTGAGCACCTCCTGTGTGCCAGGCACAGTTCTAGGTGCTGGGGGAAGACTAGAAAAAATGATAGCATGTTTTCTGGGTCCATGGGGCAAACATTCTAGTGCCAGAGAAAGATGTTCAAGGATCACACGGTTAATTGTATGATCAGAGCTATAAAGAAAAGTCTGAGAGACCATGAGGTCCTGGCCTGGTGGTCAAGGAAGGCTTCCTGGAGGAAGTGGCATTTGGCAGAAGAACTTTACTAGACTTTGAACTCTTAGTGTTAGTGTCAGGATAGACAAGAAAGGGACAGGCAAGAGTAATTAGACCAGTGGTTCTTAGTTTGGAGTGTACATCGCATTACCTGGGTTACAATGCAGGTTTTTGGCCCAGCCCTAGTTTGATTCAGTTGGTCTGGAGTGGGGTCTGAGAAACTGCATTCCTCACCTACCCCAACTTTACTGAGGAAAAACTGACAAAGAAAATTGCAAACATTTAAAATGAACAACATGGCAATCTGCTATATACATATTGTGGAATGAGAAACTGTATTTCTAACCAGCTTCCAGGCAGTGTTAACGCTGCTGGTTCAGGGACCACAGTGTGAGAAATGCTAACTTGGGCAAAATGAGGTGTGGAAGGAGAGCAGAGATTTCCAAGCAGCAAGAACAGCTTGGGTGATGGCCGGAGGCCAGCGTTAGCCCAGCAGTTTCGAGAAAACCAGAAGACAGAGTGGCTGGAATTTGTGAGTCAGGGGAGGAGAGTGCAGAGCATGCAGGGTCGGCTGTTCTCTTAAGAGCACTGAAGACTTCTCAGAAGGGGGTGTAGACTAGATCACCCAGGTGCAGGCTAGGAAATGGGTTTGAGGAGAGCGACAGTGGGGGCAGC